ATAGGTCACTTTTCCCCAATGACGTCGCAACTTTGAATGGCCGCTAAATGAATCAAGGAATACTCTTAAGGTAGTGGGTCTCAACCTTCCTAATGCCGCGACCCTTTAATACAGTTCCTCATGTTGTGGGGACCCCCAACCATAAAATTATTTTATGTTTTCTGTATATATATTTTTTGAAAACGTGTGTTTTCCAATGGTCTTAGGCGACCCCTGTGAAAGGGTCATTTGCACATACATTGCACTGCAGAGTAACTCCTTCCATTTAGGAAAAAACATCATAGTAGCACTACAAAGAAACAATTATGGACAGCGATACAATGGCATGATTGATATAGATTATATAAAGCGGGGGGGGGGGAGGTATTGCTATGGAGAAGATGCTCCAGGGCCCATTGGCTGACCAGATACTACCGAGTTTGGTGTTCCTTCCTTCAAGTAACCGGACTCTAGGCCAGGTAGGGCTTAATCGGTAGACCTTGAATCGTACCTGGAAGCGAACTTGTCTACCTGTGCAGTTCGCAAAGCAGGGGTGTTAACATGGGCATACTGAGGCATGGCCAATTCCTGCCTACAGCTGCTGCTGTGCTGCTTCTGGATCTGTTTCAGCTCCCAGTTTGTCTTCATGGGCAGTCAGTGTAGAGCTAGCTGCAGTAGTCAAGCCATGAGGTCAGCAAAGTCAACGAGGAAGCCAGATTTACTTAACAACCATGTTACTAATGCAATCAGCTACAGTGATTTTGCTTTAACCACGATGGCAAGAAAGGTGTTAAAATGGGGGGCGAAATTCACTCATCAAAATGTTTCGCTTGGTGACAAATTTTGAGGTCAGTTGTGCTCATAAGTTGAATACCACCTGGAGTTGTTTCCTAAATTAAAGAGATGTATCTTTATCATGTTTTCTTCCAGAAGGTCTATTCCATGCAAGCATCTACTGTAAATCACAGTTGTCCAGCTTTTTGGCTTGCCTGGGCCACATTGAGTGGAGAGGAATTGTCTTGGGCCACATACAAAATATATAATGTGTGTGCCTAGAGCCGAGGTGGCGCAGTGGTTAAATGCAGCACTGCAGGCCACTTCAGCTGACTGTTATCTGCAGTTCGGCTGTTCAAATCTCAGCGGCTCAGGGTTGACTCAGCCTTCCATCCTTCCGAGGTGGGTAAAATGAGGACCCGGATTGTTGGGGGCAATATGCT